AAAAGGAAATTCCAGGCTGAGGAAATAGCATGGACAAAGGCTTATAAGTGGGAGTGGATAGGTTTGATTCAGAAAATAGAGATGTCTGGTGGGACAGGAGCTTTAGAAGGGTAGAAGGAGCTCCATGGTGATGGTGAGAGGTGTCTGAGGGCTCTGGGGCCCCAGGAAGCATGAAGCCCAAGATAGAGGGCATGTCTGCCTGGGGTTGGATCAGCAGGTTCCTGAGGGATGAGCCTCACACCCAGGAATCCTGACTTTAGCCTTCCAGCTCCTCACCCCTCACCCACCTGAGAAGGGGGCACAGGCTCCTCTGCCTCCTTCCCCAAACCTGTCAGCTATTTCTCTGCATAAATCTGGGGTAAAGCTGGCAGCCACTCCAGGATGTAACAGCACCCACCCATCCCCCTCCAATCCGCCAGGCAGAGGTGAGGTGCTCCTAGCCCTGTCCAGAGAGGCCTCTGTTAGAACACTTCACCCAGCCCCCTGCAGCTGTCTGCTCTGTGTCTCTCCCACCAGCCATGAGCTCTGGCAAGACTAGGTGGGCTGGTCCAGGCCGGGTCTCCGGCACCCAGCCCTGCTGGAGTAGCTGCATGGTACGCATTGCCTTCACACACACAAATGAACAGATGGCAGTGATAACATCATCTTGGGGCTGCAAGGGGCTTGGAGTCTGACCACTTTATTTTATAGATGAGGCCCCAGGAGCCCAGGGTGAGAGAGGATTACCCAAAGTCATGAGCATGTTGAGAGCAGAGTTTAAAAGAGAAGTTTGATTTATGGCAGCACTGTTCACAAGTCAAAAGGTGGAAATAACCTAGACATCCATCACTTGATGAATGGATAGATAAAATGTAATGTAGCCACACAGTGGATATTATTGAGCCATAAACAGGAGTAAAGTACTGGTACATGTTAAACATGCTCAGTGAAAGAAGCCAGACACAAAAGGCCCCATACTGTATGATTTCATTTATGTGAAATATCCACAAGAGGCAAATCTGTAGTGTCAGGAAGCAGATGAGTGGGTGCCTGCGGCTGGGGCGGGTGGAGAAGGGGAGTGACTCCCTAGTGGGGCCAGGGTTTCCTTTAAGGGTGACACATCTGTTCTGGAATGAGATTATGGAGGTGGTTGCACAGCATTATAAATGTATTAAGCGCCACTGAATTGTCCACTTTAAAAATGGTTGAAATGGTGACTTTTATGTTATGTGAATATTTACACAAAATAAAAGTAGTAGTTTGGGAGCAGATCAGATGCCACCAGCTGGGTCTAACGTCCATTCCTCAAACACATGCCCCTGGTCCCCTTCCCATCACAGACATCTGCCCAGCCCAGGCCCTGAACTGAACCTCTCAGTTCAGGGGAAGCCCTGTGGTGAAGTGGAAGAGGGCTGCCCCGCACGGGAGGCAGGATCTGTGGATGTGAGGCCTGCTTCTTGCCGATGTGCCTATGCCGAGGCTTGGCCCCCCCCCACCTCCCAGCCCACTGACCAGCCTACTTCCGGTTAGTGCCCCATATTCCCTGCATCTCAGGCCTCTGTGCCTTGCTCCTGCTGTTTGCACTACAATGGAAGTTCTTTCCCTTGTGACCCCTCATCCACCTAGAAACATCCTTTAAGAACCAGTTCCTATCTTCCCCTTGCTGAAGACTTCCTCCTCCCACCCCCTCACTACAAGCGGAGCTTCCTAAGGTATGGGGTGCATATGCCCATTAAAGCAGGTGTGGGTGCAATCATGTTTGCTCATATGTCTCCCAGAGAAGACTGGAGCTGTGTAGGGAGAGGTCTGGCTTGTCTGCCACTGTATTCGTAGGATAGCTTTGGTGCCTTGCTCCCAGGAGGCACTCAGCAAACGCTTGTTGAATGAGGCAGTGGCTTTGGGAAGGTTCTCTCCCTCCTGGACATGCTCCATCAGTGAGGGAGGGACAGGCTGGGTGATTTCCAAGTCCCTTTATCTCTGGAGTTCTCAGGTTCTAAGAGCCAGCAGTAGAGAGCCAGCCCAGCAAGTCACTGCCTGTTGTCCCAGGCCAGCTTTCTGCTCCTGTTGCCCAAAGGAGAGAGAAGGAGCCTGCATTAATCCCCTCAAAGCAGCTATTTCCGCTCTTTGCAGGGAGGAAGGAGGGCAGTGCCCAGAGACTGGGTTTCTCCCTCCAGTCTGAATGGACCATCTCTTCTCTTTGGAAATCTAACAGAAACCCTGCCCTGAACAACCTAGACATACGGTGTTGGCTGAGGTTGCCTGGAGCCCTTCAACCACAGGGTCCAACAGCACACTCTCACTCCATTTTCCTCCACAGACGAGAGGTGCTACTCTTTCAGCTTTTCTGATTATGAAATTAGTCATTTTCTAGGAAGCTTATTTATAGAGTCTGCTGTACACATGCAGCACTGAGCTATTCTGAACACAGCTTGGGGCATGGGAGGCTCAAGGTGTGAAAGCAGCTGTGAGTCACATATGGGTCCCCTTCCAGAGGTATCTCAGTACCTTGGTTCCCTTTCTGCACCTAGCCAGGGACCAGCCCTCATGGGGTGCCCTCCAGCTGGGGTGCCTTTTAGGATAAAAAAAGAAAAAGCTCAGGATTGGGAGATGGGGATAGGTGTTCTCAGTCCCAATCTCCATGGCCACCAACTCACTATATCACCTGGAGCAGGTCAGAGCCCCATTCTGTGCCTCAGTTTCCTCCTCTGCTACAAGGGGCCTTCCAGGTAGGTGACTGCTTTGGACAACACCGTGGAGGAGGGTTCCAAGTGGCATCACAGAGACCCGCCCTCAAGTCAGCTTAGATAATGGCCATGTCTGGGGCTTCTGAGGCTTTTTCAAGAAGGTCAGGGCAATGTTCACTTATTTAACAAGTATTTACTTATTGATGACCTACTATGAGCTGGGCATCATGTGAGGCTTTGAAGATACAGAAGTGGTGGTCCCTGTCCTCATATAGCTTATTTCTAATGACAGTCAAGTAGTGACATAAATTAAAATGAAATTTCAAACTGTGCCAAGTGCTATGAGTAAAGAACCCTGGGAAGTAGGGCTGGGGAAGCTCTCCAGGCAGAGAGAGAGCACATGCAAAGGTGTTGTAAAGAAAAGAGCCTGTTCAGTGTAGCTGGAATGAGAGATCAAAGAGGCAGAAAATAATGTTGGAGGGATAAGCAGGAATCAGACCATATAAGATCTAGTAAACTGTTCAAGGATGTTTATCTTTGTCTTAAGTGCAATAGGATGCCATTAAAGTATTTTTTCAGGGAAGATTATATGATAAATGAGTTTTGAAAGAGTTGAGTCTAGCACAGGCCTGTCTCACTGAGTTGTGCAGGTTGTAAACTGTATAACCTGGGAAGCCATATGTATTGGAGCCTATCTGGAGAACGTTTTGGAGGCCAGCATGAGTAGATGCTGGAGGAGTAGTCATCAAAGGACCAAGATGTAGGTGGTGGAGATGGACCGAAGTGGAGGGACTCAGAAGACATTTAAAGGGCCTTGATTCCAGCAGCCCTTTCTCCGCAGGAGAGAGGGAATTTGGAATTCTCAGAGGCTCTGCCATTTGAAGGAAAAGATAAAATAATGCAATTCCAGTTGAGAGCAGATGTCAGAGGGTCACCCTTAAACCAGACTGTCTCCTCTTAGTGTTTCAGAGCTGCATCTGGGCCCAGAATCAGCCTCAGGACCAGTCCAAGAGGCAGGATTGCAGAACTAGTGGGCAGAAAGGCAGCTGATCTCTTAGACTTCCTAGAAGTCTTATGCTAGCAAGGTTGTATTAAAGTTTCTTTTGGTTGCTAAGTTCAGAAATCAAAATCCATTGGCTGAAGCTAAAAAGTTGAAATTTATTGAAGGATCCTGGGGCATCTCATGGTCTTGACAGACACATTGGCCAATCAAGACTCAGGATGGGCAGAAACAAAGCAGCTCTGAGGCCCTTGGCAGCAGATGGTTTGGGACCATCTCTCCAGGGCACTGTGGCTACCATAGTTCAGCACCAGCAACTGCAGGCTTCAGGCCTTCCAGGAGGCATCTGAGAGGTGCAGGGGAAAGGATCTAATTAACCCCGCCTGGTTGGTGGGTCCAGCCCTGGATCAGTCAGCTACTGCCAGGGGTCAGAGACACGAAGGGCAGGTGGGGCCACTGGAGCCCACAGCTGCGTATCAGGCCATGTCCAAAGGCGGGGAGCCCCTGTGAGCTGTGCAGTTGCCTCAGGATATGTCTGTGCTGTAGACACTTCACGGGGTCTGGCTCATCTCCAGCAACTTTTTTCCAGTTCATTGGGTAAAGAAAAGCTAGACCCCAGTATAGTCCTAGAGGGTATCCTGATGGGCTAGAAAGAGGGTTTTCTGATTTCAGAAAGAAATAGAACATTTAGAATATGTGGAAAAAATATATAGCTACCTTTTTATAGCTATCTCTGGAGAAGAGTTTTGCATACCACTTCCACTGCCTAAGGCAGAGGGCACTTGCAGGCCTTGGGGAGCTGGACACAGACTGTGTGTTACCCAGACCCCTCTGCTTGCTCACCCATGGTTCAAACCCACAGGAATTAGGAGACAAAGTGACACAGCAGTGGGAGTATGAGCCTGGGGTCCTAGACCATAATTTCATACCCAGCTCTACCCTAATGGGTTGTGTGATTTTGAACAAGTTACTTAACTTCTCTGAGTCTGTTGAATGATCCCTTATTCATGGGGTCATGATGGAGACTCAGTATGATAAGTTTGTTAAGTGCTTTGCACATAGTAAGCCCTCCTTCCATGGTAGAAATGATGGTGATGAGGATGGTTGAAGAAGCTTCTTCTGGTTATTCCACATGGAAGACACCTGCAGAATTGTGCTCCTCCTTCTGCAGTTTGGCTCCACTGTGGGTTGGTCTTTTCCTTGGTCCCCATGATGGAGTGGGGTTATTCAAAGAGACATAGTGCTAGAAACAAAGGCTTTTTATTTTTATCTTTGCTCAGGGTTTTGTCTTGATCCTGGCTCAACAGCATCATCTCACATTTTTCATCCTGCTGCAGGAGAGAGAGAACCACACTGCTGATGACTCCGAGAGAGGGTCCCTGGACATGTGCTGCAGCGAGAGGCTGCCGGGTGAGTCTTCACAGTACCCAGGTGCCCCTGGGCCCCAAATGGAGGGAGAGAACCCCAGATGACACTAGGGCAGGGGTCAAGCCTGGTTACCTGTGAACTTGCTCAAGAGGGATGACTTAGCTGGTCCCTAGGTCTTCATTTAAATGAGGATTTGTTTTCTGATCCCTGAGGTCTTTCTAACTTATCATTTGGAGCTGCTCTGGGCTCACATGCATGGAAGTGCAGGCAGCTGAGGGTGTGCTGGGAGAACAGAACAGAGAGCTGGGGAGTCCGGGTTGATCAGGCCATGACACCGAGCAGTGGTGTGTCAGGCAGCCTTCAAGAGGTAAGGTTAGGAAACACAACCTGAATGTGGCTGAACCAAGGGTAGAGTGGACAGTGTGGAGAACTACCTGACGGCCCTGTCGGGAGGCCTGGCTACAAGCATCAGCTGTGTGAGTGACCACGCTTGTGCGGAGCCTATCTGGCTAAACCATGGCCATTACAGTCACCCCAGAGACGACATCAGGGCACTCCTGTCCATCGGGTGGCAGCATGTCCCAGTTGTAGACCAAATACTCAGGTCAAATACCCAGGAATAAAGGAAAGGAGGTTGGGGAAGTTTTTAATGCTTTTTTGTTTGTTTTTAAAGAACGGTGTTTTTTTTCCCCTTCTTATAACATATATCTGTTGGAGAAATATTAGAAAATAAAGACAAGTGAAAAAAAAACCAGAAAAGTAAGTGATGATAATCCCACAACACAGCGTACATTTCCCTGTCTCTTCTTCTAAACCTTTTTGTTCAAAAGCAGCCTCTTGAATTCTAACTTTGAGGTTCCCAAACCTGTAGCTTGTCAGAAACCTCATGATTGGCAAGGAAATATAGAGTGGTGTCCTCAGTGACACTCCTTAAGATAGACGTTGAAAACAACTAGGTATGACTCTGGAGTGATGACTCTAAAATAAGCAGTGATTTCAGTCACAGCGGGGAGCCAGTGCTCTAGCTGCTGATGAAGCGCCTCAGGCCTCCAGGAGTGAGCCCTCTGAGCAATTCACGCCTTATCCAGTAGGGCGCGCCATTGCTCAGAACACTTTGGACGGCCCGTTGAGATGCCCCAGGATGGGTGTCATCTTACAGGGGTCGTTGTGGGGTCATGAAATAGCTAGTTTGAAGAAAAGAATTCTCCAAAGGGATATATAGAGCTATCTGCACAATCTGAAAGGCTGTCTTGTGGAGGGGGCAGCATAGTCATGCTGTGTGTATTTTAGGAGGCCAGCATAAATCCAATACATAGAAATTAAAGAGGCCTGTGGCCCATAGGATGCAGAACTTTCTTTCCAACCCTAAAAGTGATCCAGCCATAGAACTTGATAATTCAAGAGGAAGACAATGAGTGCTCCATCACTGGGAGCATTCAAACACTGTCTGGATAGACATTGGAGAGGAAATTTCCACAATAGGTGGGAAGTCGAGATGACATCAAAAATCCCTTTCAACCATTAAACAGTTCTGTGATTCAGATATGAGTCATAGAATTTGGAGATGGTTCTACAACCAGGGATGGCCCCACTGGCTCGAAAAAAATCCACGGAAAATAGGACATGACATATAGGCGTCCAGAGAGTAGCATGGTGTAGAAGAAAGCATAGGGTTTGGCATTTGAATCTGGCTGTTCTCCTTACAGGCTGTGTGTTTATAGACAAGTCACTTACCTTGCCGGGCCTCTAGTCCTCATTTATAAGTGGAAAGAACAACAATATGAATATTCATCCTCACAGCAATATAAATATCCTTACAAGGATTAAATAAATGTAATCACATCAGCATTCATTAAGGAAGTACTTACTGAGCACCAACTATGTGTCAGGTACTGTACTAGGTGCTAGGGACATAGTGATAAATAAAATAGACATAGTCTCTGCTCTACTTGGAGCTGCTCCTGGAAAATGGGATGAAGCCACAGCAGAGAGGCTACAGTAATAAGCATAACATGTTTAATCCCAGCCCTCTCTCACATTCCTCCCTGGAAGCCAGCAACCAGTGTAGAATGGAAGAGGAGCTTTGGTCATCTCCATTGGAACTGGCACATTGCCTTCCTGGTGCCTGGCACTGTTCTAAGTGCTTTTATGTGTATGCCTCATGTAATCCTCTCCAATGCTCCAAGAAATCTGGATCATTTGTTCTCCCCATCCTAGAGATGAGAGGACCAAGGCCCAGGGAGGTTAGGGAGTCTGTCCAAGGTCACTTAGCTAGTACTTGGTGGAGTGAGGATTTGCCCAGGTAGCCTGTCTCCAGAGCACATGCTCTGGGTCACTCCCTCATTCTGCCTCCACTGTCACCACAGAGCTACCATCATCCTCCGGCACGCTGTGGACTGCAGCAGGTAGGCCTAAGGTGTGTCTGTCCCCAAGCAGAAGTTTGGAGGAGACGGGCGATGTCACTGTGCCTGTCCCCATCTGTGTCCTTCCCTGGAAAGCCCCACCTGCTAGGGACCAGGGATGTTAATGCCTCTCAAAACTCCCATGATGCCATCTTGATGTGATATTGAAATAAGCTTTTGTCTCTTTACGCCATGGGACCATGAACTCTTTGAAGGCAAGTACCTGTCTGTTTCATCCTCCATGTCCAGCATTCATGAACTCATTGCTTCATTCATTCACTGACTATTCATTGAGCACCTACATGTGCTGGGTACTCTCATAAGCACTGGAGATTCAACAATGAATCAAACTGAGAAAACTCCCACCCTCACAGGACAGCATTCATTGTGTCCTGGTTGAGAGTAGGGATTCTGGGCCCAGGCTTGGCTCCACCACTTACCACTGGGGTGATTACCAGGAAGCTACTTAACCTCTCTGTGCTTCCCATTTACAAAATAACAAGAATAGTATTCACTCCCATGTAGAGTTGTTAGAGGATTAAATGAATTAATAGAGAACTCAGAGCAGTGTGTGGCATGTAGCAAGTAATATAAAGGCATTTGCTATTAAGGGAAAGACAATAAAATAAATAAGTAAAATATATAATAGTATGGCAGATGGTAAAAAGTGCTATGAAGAAAATCAAAGCCAAGGAGGGAAGGTGGGGAAGGACTCAGGGGTGGTTTGGCATTGTAAATAGGGTGGTCCTGGAACCTGGCAAAGAGCAGGTTTCTGCAAATGTGCATCAGCCCAAACCGCTGACCTGAGCAGCACCTTGGATATAAAAGGAAATGGAGGTATAAAGGCCAAGAGAATTGGGGTGCTGGGCCTTAAGAAGGAGCCCATGGGCACAGCAAGCAATTACATAATGATGGTGTAAAAATACAGCTCTTGAGTAATCTCTCCCTCTCCCTGCTGCCTTCCCGCTGGGCAAGAAGAGAGACGAGATAGAGTGAGGGCCAGATGTTCCCTTGGTGACTCATACATTCCCACACGCACTGCCGGTGGGGGCAATATGGCTAACGCTCTCGGCCATGGTCACTTGGACCAGAGCCAGCACCAGGCGGGTCATATAGTCCTCCCAGATTGAGATTTCTGGGTGGAGACATCCTGAGGCATTGCCAGCCACTGCCCCTCACCCCACCCTGAGCCCGCAGCTGTCCCCGGGACAAGACGTGCACCGTCACACCCCTGGGGCACCCTATGCATGTGCTCACACACTTGTGTTTGCTCTCATTTGTCACAGCCTTTCACTCACGTGCACATACGCACATACCCACGCACAGGTACCCAGGCGTGCACCCTCTGTCGCGTGCCACCTTGTCACACACCCACCTTTAAGCTCCCTTGCCTGCAAGCTTCTTCCTCTTGCACACTCAGGATCTCTTAGCTCCAGGACTCCATCATCCACCCCCTTCCACAGACATGCTCTTAGTGACAGACAGACTTGCTTGTTCTCCCATTCTGAGTTAGGTCTCTTCCTCTCTTGCAACCGCATCCCCTTGTCACGCGCATACAGACAAGCAAGTGCACTCCTTCCCTTCCGTGCTCTGTTACCTGCTCGGTTACACCCAGTGCACAGGGACTGTGGCAGGCACTGGTGTTTCCCAGCGTCATCGCCAGTCCACACACACATATTTTTCTTCTCCTTCGTGCACACACCTTTTCACATGGTCACTCTCCTTTCCTGCTCTTTCAGACCCCTTTACTCGCTCTATTACTTGCTCACTATCGCCCAAACACATTTATACATTCACGCTCACACTCCCTGCTTCTTTGTGTGTAGGTGTTCACATTTGCAAGAAACCAGGCAACCCTGCTGATGGTGGGGCTTCTGCTCCTTCCCAGCCAGCAAGAGTGAGGGCCTCGCCTGGAACTAGCAGCTTCCTCAGGGGCACTTGGCAGAGGCAGGGGGTAGGCAAGGTAACATAGTGTCAATGTTGTTTCCACATCATCAAGTGCTGCTCACAGTATCTCCAGGGGGCCAGCTCATGGGCAGGTCTACTCCTAAGATTTGCACACCGAGGCCAGACTGCAAGTGCGGCCCCTAGTGGTGCACCATGCCCTTGCTCAGCCCTGAACGCAAGGGCCCTTGTGTGCATGCACGTGGGCACATCAGTCTGCGTGTCCAAGCATGGTCCACACCCAGCCCAGTAGCTGCTCTCTGGCCACTCTCAAACCTAAAGATACCCAAGCAGGAGGCTGTGTCCATCCCTTGAAGGGTGTGCCTGCACCCATGCAGGCTTCAAGCCATTTGGGCAGGGAGCTGTGGAGTCCTCATAGCCAGAGGATGGCCTGGAAAAGGGAGCGTGGGCACGCCTCCTGGGTACTGTGCAGTTACTGCCCCATGGGGAGGGTCATGGCCAAAGGCAAGGGAGCAGAGGGCCCAGGTCTACTCACTGCACCCTCGCCACTGCACAGGAGGAAACCTCAGCTTATGTGCCTCCAAAGGGACTGTGTGAGAATTTCCATGAGCAGAACCACCAGTTTTCAGACTTCTATTTCTACTTCCCAGACTGGTTGTACTGCCAAGGATATGGAAGGCGGCGGAGCAGGGAGAACCAGGAGGAGTGGTGTGGGTGGGATGGGTAAAGGCTGGG